TTAACGAGAAAGTATTAAAATAAAAGTTTATATTATTCTCACATATGATAGTGAGGAATATAGATGAGAGTGAGACTATGCCTTAAAGGCAAGTTACAAATCAATATATTAATTTGTGAGTGATTCATAAGTATACCGACCTGCTGTAGATCATTTTAATCTTAGGGAATATTGTAGATTAATTTTTTTTTAACTTATAACATTTGCAAAATATGTTAGTTATTTCCTATAAATGGTTTAAATATTATACGTTAGTAAACATAAAACGAATACGCTCTTAATACAAACTTACAGTATTTTCCAAAGGCGCGGTGCATCATTACAAACTCTCATAAATTACTATAATTAAAGTACTAGTTGTAAACTTCTAATAATTAATTAAAATCATTAGAAACAGGAATTCTAACGCAACACAAGGTTTAATTAAAATTGTTATTTTTTTCAGTAATCATTAACCAATAAACGCTGCTATGAATTTTTCGAATTATTTTTGAATATTCAAAATTGATTCCGAATGTTATGCAAAAACGTAAGTCCTTATCGAATTTCATTAAATGGCTTTTGAGTTTTTAAAATTGGTTCAACAGTTTTCGAGAAAACTGCAAAATATGCACACACATACTTTTTCTGATATTGGTCTTATTGGTGATTTTAATAAAAAAAAATTCTAATACGTCGAGAAAATAAAATCGGATTTCCTAGCGAAAACAAAATCCTCTACTGCGAAAAGTTTGTTATCTTAAATATCAAAAACATAAAAAGATGGCAAAATAAATTCTCAGATAAGCAAAATTTCATGTTAAAAGTTGAACTATTGCTGTTAAACGATTTTCTTACTCTTGAATGTGTTGTTTGAAATATAGATTATCTTAAAATTAGTAAAACCATGTGCGTTTGCCTCTATTGCTATAATATAATATAGTATAAAAATATGAAAAAGATTATAATTTCTCATTTATTTTCCAACTCACAATGTTACAGTTTTGATAATTTACAGTAATTAATCATATTCATTAAACTTTCAAAGAGTGTACCTTACATACTACGTTTCGAGAAGGAAGCACAATATCATGATAAAGATACGTTAGTAGGTTGGTAGATATTAATTTTATTTTATATATTTACATACTATAAAAATTAGTCCTTTATAGAAATTTTTATTATATATTATGTACAGAATCAAACCACACGCAAGAGAGCTCAATATAAATGTATTTAACTACATATAAACTTTTTACCTATTTTATTTATATTTTTTTATTATTAAATAAATTTACTCATATGTGCGAAAAACGTCTATATGTTCTATAATATACCTATTCGATATGATTATCAATATCAAAGCCGAGCAAACTTTTCAGAAAATATTGTCACTTATTGTATAGAACTAGACGTGAATCTTAATGGAAATTAGGCCGTTGGTAAAAAATTGATATTTATTATAATTTTTAAAGTCTGATTAATATAATAAATAATTAATTAGCGGTTTAATGTTAATATTAATTGAACTAAAAGAGTAGGGAAGACTGGGTACGGTTGTGACAGTCGTCACAACAGCTAAAATTTACTGATTTTGAGATAGAGTCCAATAAGATGAAGTATGTTTGTTCAAACAAGTTTCCATTATTGCATTGAGTCTGCGCCCTACATTAACATGATCTGTTAAACGCATTGCCTTTAAAGAGTTAAATATAAGTTTTTTGTTCGATTTTTTTTTAATAATAACAGTTAACTGTACACATTTAGATCACTTCGTTAATTTGCTGTAAGTTGAATAATAGTAGTTAATTACCAGCAATTAGTTAGATATTAAGTGATATATTTTTTGTCCTTTTTTAGCTAAGACAATATACAAAAGAGAAAGAGAAAGCAAAATTTTACACAAGAAAATGAAAGTTTTCGCAAAGATTTCTTGTTAACTTAGTTTAAAAAAATATGTTATATATTGTTATATTATATACATAAACCTCGTTTAAATGATTACGATGTGTTGCTTACATATTTCTGACAATGAAAATTATTATAAGTCATTATGGTGTTTATACATATTGTTTTTAACCTAATTTTTTAAAGAAAAAAGAGTGTCAAAACTTTTTCTTGATTTAAAGACTTTAATATGAATATTGAAATTACCATTTAATTTACTTTTACCCACCTAACTGATAAATTAACGAAATTATTGCTGATAAAAAAAGTGGCACAACCATACCCAGTCACCCCTAATGAGATTAATTTTCAGAAGCAATAACAAAATTTGAAATAAATAAGTGAAAACTCTAAAATTATTGGTATTATTGAGACGTTCGTTTATTTAAATTAAGATTTAGTTTCAAGCAAACTAATGATATTTCGTCCATATTTTTAACCAAGACTTTGCATGCATTTTTTTGATTAAGGTCTGGATATTTATACGTTTGAAAAAAATAAAAATCATTTTAGGTTAAAATTAAAAATGCTTTAATTACATTGTGCACATCGAAAACAATAATAGATCTGTTGAAGTTCGAAGTAGGTTGTAAGCAATAATAGATCTACTAAAATAGACAATGGGTTGTATAAGTATAAGATTAAAATATTAAAAATGTAGACAGTTGCAACTGTAGATAATATTTTAAATTTCAAATGTCTATTTCAATAAATGCCTGTTTTAAAAATCTATATATGTTATAATAATATATTGTGTTATAATATTTTGTTCTTTGTCCTATTTTTATGTTTATTTTAATGATACCCTGATTCACGCCTACTAACTAGCCCTAGACTTAAATCTAGCGATTAATATAAAATTTTAAAATCATATATTTGCTCGAATGTTAAGCATAACACTAATGTTTTAATAACATTTTAGTTTTAGTTTCTACTTAAGTACATTCAATATGTGCAGAAGGATTTTCTTTAGAGAGTTGATCATATAGTTGACTGATCACAAGGATTTTACTATAGATATGTTGAATTCAAATAATTATAGATACTATATATAACAGAGAAGCTTTGGAATATAATTAGAATATTTGATAACAAATTATTATAATAAAATTATTTTCAATAAGTGAATCAAAGCAAAAGCTCAATTAATTATCGATTTCGAGTTTCCTCAAACTTAAAATGAATATTCGAGTAAATTGATTAATTTGTTATATCTGTTATTACTTTCAAATAAGCATTGATTGTTTTATTTTATTTATTTCTAAATTTTCTCACGGCCATTCCAAAATTTAGTGCAATAAAATATTTGATAATAAATTTCTGTTAGGAGTTATTGTAGAGAGAAAAATAAATTTATAATTTTAATATTTTGAACCACAAAAAGTTTAAAGAAACAAAATCTTTTTTTGTAAAGAGAATCCAACCTCAAAAATTTAGTAGCACAAAAATCACCCAAACGAGAATATAGATTTACTAATACGATATGAAAATAATTCTATGAATAAATATTTCATATTCGAATTCTACTCAAAAATAAATAGACGAGTACTATTATCTATATATCATTCTGCAAAGCATAGATTTTTGCATTATAATTAGGTAACTGGTTCAATTAAAGTATATCATAATACTTGTTTTACTAGAACCATTTTTATTGCTATTTACGACTTTTACGTACTGTGTACATTTTAAAAATTCAAATTAAATTTTAACAAAAATTCGGTCCCATTTTCTTATACGTAAATATTATATTTTTATCTATTTATGTTACTATTTATATCTATAAAAGCAATTTTATTAATAAATTTTTATAATCATTATTTCACAGTTTGTTCACAACATTCAGCTAGCAATCATCTTGATATAGTTAATTTAAAAAATATTTTACATAGCACTCTATAGAAATTTCTTAATTTTATTTAGCAAATATCACCCTTTATTTACAATGTATTTACATCAGTTAGGCTATATTTAATGAAAAAAAATGTGAAAAAAGTTTAAATAAAAAGCAAAATTAGACATATCAAAAATATATAAGTTAAAATAAATTAAATAATACAAAAAAAAACATTTCGTATGAAGTAAAATCGTTTAATCTTAAACGCTTTTTTTAAATATTATAATTTTTCGAAAGGTATTATAGATTTGAGATTAATAATATGAAAAAATTGAAACTTTTAAATAAATTAAATAATAAAAAAATATCATGAAGTAATATCGCATTATCTTAAATGTTCTATATAGTCATTATAGTTCTTTGTGAGATAATATAGGAAAACGTTTGTTTTAACAAATACCGAAAAAATCGTATCTAAAAATTCATGTATGATTACTTTTGTCTTGAAGAAATTGAAATATTGATGATTTTGAGATGCAAAAATCTGCACTCAAATAACATGTCCAATTGTTATGGAAATTGTCTAGGTTAGTTTGATAAATAATTTATTTTTATAACTGCAGACTAAAATTTAAAGAACTATTTTATAAAACGGGAACAATTTACATGAGATTATTAAGTCATCTTATGAGCTGAATGAGAATGATTAATTATGATTCTATCATTCTATTTTCAAAGTCCAAGAGTTTGGATTAAGGACACGAAATTTGAAATATAAAAACAACATTAAAAAAGCGATTGGTTTGTTTATTGAACACCTAATTAAATTGTATATAGTCATATTGATTAAATCAAATAAATATATTCATTTCATTAATATGACTATATGCACTTTAATCAGGTGAAAAAAAAAGCCGAGTTTGGGCAGTTGTGAATTCAAAATATGTATAAGGCATTGTCAGTAACCATCATACCGAATTGCAAAATAAGCTTCGCATATAGATTATTAAAAATATTTCGAAAACGTATAAAATACGCAAATTGTATAAGACGCAGAAGTTATAAAGAAATGATAATATAAATATCAAATAATAGCATATAAATAAAATCAAATGCAAATATTTAATAATAATCAATATATAATAATAATAAATATATAATAATAATCAAATATGAAAATAATAATAATAAATATAAATTTAAAATAATGAAAATAAAAATAAAAACTGAAACTAACCTCTTTACAGCATCCATCGAACTAAGGAAAACCAAAAAACTAAACCCTTCAGACATCATCCGAATCCTGGAAACTACCATTATCCGATATCCTCCTCCTTAAATGTTGCTGCTGCTGATCCTCCGAGCACATATTGGCTAAAAACGAATGCATTTCTCTCATTGTAGGCCTCTTAGTTTCATCTCTGCTCCAGCACGCGTCCATCATCGCAAATAACGATGTAGGACATATGGCTGGTCGTATTAAAAGAGGTTCAGTCACCGGAGATGAGGAGCAATAAAGTCGCTCTGCCCTGCGAACGACCTCCCGATCGCTCAAATCGCCGAGCGGCCGCTCGCGGCACAGGGAGAATATTTCCCAGAGCGTTACCGCAAATTGCCACACGGTACCCGCACATGTGTAGCGGTCCTGAAAGAGAATGCAAATTAGTTTACTAGAAGTATTGTTATGTATGTATATAAAAGCAATAAGAAACTCAGAACTAATGTAAATCACAGCATTGGTACTGAGTTATATAGGGTTCAATAAATATAATAATAAGACATGCAAAATTATAAATTGTTTTATTGAATTGAAGAGTTCATAGAAAGATGTGTTAAAAAATAAATATGATTGAAGTAAGTTCTTGAAGCGCGACTAGGGTGTAAATCCGTACAAATGCATCGGAAGTGCGTTAAGGCCGAGTCGAGTGCCAATGATTCGTCATTCGCTCTCGATGATATCATTTCTATACGGGTCAATTGTGATTAGTCGTCGCATATGTGAGTAGATGAGTCGTCGCATATCTGTCGTTGTATGCGTACCGGCATCAGCGTAGTTTGCGTACCGATATCAACAAGGAAATAGGCATACTTAAACATTTTAAAGTTACATCGAAGTACATATCTTGATTTAATGAAATATGCCTGAATCAGAAGTATATTTTACCCTAATCCTTGAAAGTAATCTAACAAATTAAACATTTGTGCCGTATTTCTATATTATTCTCTATATTATAGCTGTTCAAAGAATGAGATTATATCGCCAACGAAAAAGTAAAAAAAAATACAAGCAGTCAATGAACGTATGTTAATTTTAATTACATGAATTTCTTCAAACACTTTCATTTATTAACCAGTAATTACTTCATTTTTCTAATGAAGGTTCATTTCTAAATGCTAATTACAATGACAAACCGATCATGTCAAACGTATTCAGAAATATTTTGTATTTGTGTATTTTTATAGCCTTAAGTATGCCTATACGTTGCATTCTATACTACACGCCTACATCTATACCATACGCTATATTTCATCATATACTCTCAAATCCCTACATTGTATACCGAATACACCTAACCTATATCTATTATATATCCTATTACCTATAATTTTCCTTACACGCTACATTAACCCTACCGAGAATCGAACCCGAGTCCGCCGCGTGGCACGCGACAACCTTAACCACTAGACCACTGTAACGCTACAATCAACCGTCTTTTTTTGCGTGTCGTCGCGCCACCTTAGTATTAATTACCTAATTGATTAGAAAATGACCCGCGGAAACAACAGTGCGTCCTATATTATATTATTAATGGGGGTACCCGATAGGGTAGTGGTTAAGGTGCGCGACTGCCACGCGGAAGTCCCGGGTTCAATTCCCGGTATAGACAATAGATAGGTAGAGATAATAATAATAGTAATATTTATAAGAAGTAAAAAGTATGTAGGTATATAATAAGTTAATGACGGTGTAGGTATCTCACGGTATGATTGATAATAGATATCTACCTATGGTATACAATAATATAGTATAGTAAGATAAGTAATAGGTTATCTATCGTATTATTAGATTAAGCCTTATAAAGTATTGTAATAAATCTCGAGTACTTTTAGATCATAATGAATACCTGTAAGTATTAATGAATACAAATAATACCACAATAAATATAATTAATGTTATTAAAGAATATAAATTATGTACTCAATGATTCCCTCATACTTGTACAATTTAATTTATAGACTAGCTGTATATAATAGAGTTAATTATATAAGAAGTAAATATATTAGATTTGTGAGTTCTTATAGAAATATATCAAATTTTTTGAACCGGATTTTAAATTTTAGCGTTCTGGCAAAAAAAATATTAGCACAACACCACTGCTTGTTAGAAACTGTTTGTTACTCTATTTGCTCGTTAGACTTTTTATAACTAAATTTAAATTTAAATTATAATTAAATTTCAAATAATTCATACCATAAGTACACTTTCCCAAGGCAACCATCTGATAGGCGCAGGCGGTCGTCCACCAATCTCGCTGTAATCTTGACGATATAGCGGACTACACATTGCAATATCGCCAACTTTGACAACATATCCTCGACCGACCAAACAATTTCTGAAAAAAATTATTACATAATTAATTATATAAATAAATAAAATAAATTTTGCAAATTTTGTTTAACTCACCTAGCTGCTAAATCTTTATGTACAACGTTTTTCGATTCTAAATATTTTACAGCCGATGCGATTTGCGTCGACATATAAACCAGGCAACCAAAACTGAAAACATTAAAATATAAATATATATATTAATCTTAAATCATACAAATAATCATAGATTAAAATCATTATTTATAAATGGATATTATTAATACTATGCCTGTACACCAAACTATTTCAATATTATAAATTTAACAAGAGTTTCTGCACTTATAATTACCACATTTGCAATTCACTAGAGAATAGATAGCAACATTTTTAGCTTTTAAAACTATGGTATCTTCTATTTTCATAATATTCTAATTTTTAACACATCTAATAATGTGATATAAATTTAATTTTAACCGATGAAAGAACATAATTTTTATATATCTACCTGATACTTCTAGCATCCTGATATCCCCTCCTATTCTCCATAACTTCTTTCGTCTGCAACAAATGAGCCAGATCACCCAATTCTCCGTATTCAATAATAGCCCATTGTGGTCTTTCTCCAGTAACTACACCCAAAACTCTGCAGAGACCAACGTCTGTGAGAGATGCCAAAAATCGCAATTCGCGCATAGAACTTGATCTCCCTGCAGGCGATGGAGAACGCGAAGGCTGCCGCCCGACTCCACCGTTCGGTAAGGTAGAAGGCGGCGAAGAGCGGGCGCAGACTAATCGGCCCACTCCGGGAATAAGTGCGGACAAAGCATTGTCGGTCTCGCACAACATTATCTATTAAAGTTATAAAATAATATGTAATAAAAATAAACAAGACCAAATTAGATAGTATTAAATATTAATATACACATATTAGATAAAGAAACCTGTTAACGAAACGCTATGTGCATATTTATTTTTGAAGTGAAACTTTTTTAGGCGCGACTGGGGTGTAAATCCGTACCAATGCAACGGAAGTGCGTTACGACAGATAAGACAAGATAAGAGTCGAGTGCCAATGATTCGTCATTCGCTCTCGATGATATCATTTCTATACGGGTCGATTGTGATTATTCGTCGTGTATGTGAATGGAGATCTGTCGTTGTATGCGTACGAATATCGACAAGAAAATCGGCATAGATAAATAAACATTTTAAAGTTACATCGTAGTACAAATCTTGATTTAATAAAAATGCCTAAATCAGAAGGATATTTTACCTTGTTCCTCGAAAATATAGATTAATAAGATTAATGATTAGTAAGTTTATTGATTAGAAATCATTTCTGTATTTTTTATAAATCTTTGAAGTTAATAAAATGGAAAATATTTGTTAAGCAAGACAGATATTACAGCTGTTCATAGAATGAGATTATATCGCAAGCGAAAAAGTAGAAAAAATACAGGCAGTCAATGAATGTATGTTGATTTTAATTACATGAAGTTCTTCAAATATAATTACATGATAAGTGAAGTTCCAAAAACAATATTTGCTTAGGCGTTGTTTAACATAATCCACTGTGTGAACAAATATTATAGAATTTATTAATCAGCAATTACTTCATTTCTCTAATTAATTTCTAAATGCTAATTACAATGACAAACCGATCATGTCATATTTGAAGTATGACTTTAATTAGATTATTGTTTTTAAATATTATACATATTTTTAACGCTATTATAAATATATAATTTATAATTTATCATTATATAAATATGTATAATGGTTGACACTTATAAATGTGTGCATCATGAGTGTTACCATATTACTAATAAACATTATTCAAAATTGTTATATGATGTATTTATTTTTACAATATTATTTTTAAATGCCATCTTGTACAGTAGCACATAAGTTTTACTTCAATCGCATGTGAACCTTACGCGCACTCTTTTTTTAATATATTAAATTAAATCACTTTGTCTAAATAATTTCAGTAGTGATTGATATTTTTAAATTGAAATCTGATAATAAATTATCTTTAATTAACAGTTAAAGTTTGATTAACACTATATGCAAAAACGTGCTTTATACCAAAATGATGAAGTAAGAGACGAAATTGATCACCTATACTATAAAGACTAGCCACTCATTTATCGAGTAAAATTTTACTTTGTATTTGATTTTTTAAATTAACATACCTCCCCAGCATGACTAGAGCCAAATTTCTCGACCACGTTTAGACAATATCTAGGGACCGGAGCCAACTCGCTTTCGCGGCAACTGTACGGTCTGCCCATACTCGGCGCAATGTTCCAGCATACGACTGGAGGGGCCACCTGAAATAAATTTATAGTCACAATTATTCACACATATATTTGAATTAAAAACTAAGTGGCAACATAATTCAACTATTTTGTAATATTAATACAATGCAATAGATTTATAAATACCAAAGGCAAAAATGTGTCTTATATTTAATAGCGGTAACATATTATTCTGTAATCACAAATATAATTTATTATTTTTTATTTTTGTTAAAGCATTACGTGCTATTTGAAGGTTATACGGAGTTTTTTTGCCTTTGCTGTTAGATTTTGGAATCACGTTTTGTATACAATTATTTAGTATATAAGAAGTAGTTAAGATTTAGTTAGTCAGTCAGAAGTCAGGAGTCAAGTCAGGCTTACTATTAAGATTCTTAAAAAATGTAGTCTCTGATTATCGATAACCAAAAGGTTATCAAACAAATTATTTATTTGTAAAAATAGTAAACAATAAAATATCAAGATCAACCAAGAACCAGTGTTTTTATCTTATCAACCGTTCAGCTATAGCTACCAAACAACCCCACAATTACAGTTCAATATATTTTATCAAAAATAGCAATATACCAAACTAGCAAGTTACTATAAAATTTTATTGTTACATAAACGAGAGAAAAATAGTTAGTGTATTAAAATATAATAATTTAGATTTCACTCTATTGAGAGCAGTCTAGTGTTTCATTTGAGCACTAACTTATGCAAACATAATAATGAGAATAAAATTAATAATCGTTTAGATATGGAAATTTAATTATTAATTCAAAATATGCAGAGATAATAATCTGATTGTGAGAATCTATAAACTTTTTAACAATTGTAGGTTGTTGAAGGATCAAACATTTTGCTCATAATATCTCATAGTTGTATACGATCAAATATTTTGCTCATAATATCCCGGATTATTAACTTAATTACAATCTAAATTTCGCTAGTAAGTCACAAGATTACTTGTTTATTAACAAAATTTGAAAATATATAGCTTGAAACATATAGCTTTCGTCAGAAAATCCATTAATATTATGCTTTATGTGCGTTTCAAGTTATTCTAAATCTTTTAAGATTGAAATTGGACAAAACATGTATGAGTAAGACAAAATTTTACATTCGTCGACGTTTTCTCAAAAAAGCTTGACACTTCATAAACGGAAGTGAAACATTTTTCGTCAACGATTTAACCAAAAATGCGGAATTAATTTAAAACATTCAAAAACTGTCCGGAAAATATAGTTAAGAATCGTACTAGTTGGTTTCTGATAGAGGTCAGACGGGCAGTTTTTTTGCAATTAGTTGTTGAAAAAAAAAAATGAGACGATTTTTCTGATACCCTCATATCTTAAAGAATATACTAAAATGTTATGGATGTTAAATAATCAAACTTGTGAATCAAAATTTCTTATTCTTAAATTCTTCTTAATTGCTTATACTCAATCCTTACTTAATAACAGCTTGATTATTTACAAATACTGAAAAACGACAATATATAATGAAAATGTTAACACTCATTTTTAAACTGAAAATAGCTGTTTTAATAATTATTTCTTTTTATTTAATATGTAAGTATAAAATAAGGATTACGTTTTACGAAGTAGAAAATTATGCGTTCGAAATAATTTATTATATTGTTAATTTATTATGGTTGTAACAAATTTTAAAAGATCGTGTGTAGTATGGATATATTTTCTTCGAAGCATATTCCAACTATATAAATATAAAGTTGTAAATTTTGTAAACTATTTTGCTTTTGTTCAAAATATCTGTTATTATGAAATGTGAACCTAAGAAGTACAAAAAACATAATAATATCTCACCCTATGTCTATCCCTTGGTGCAGTATGACACCTCTTCGTCCTTTCTGAAGTTTCCGACTTTCTACCAACTGTATGCTGATCACTCCTCCGCAACGAATCATTATTATTATTAATGGACTGCGGTTGCTGGTGATATGGTCCCAAGCATGATCCTTTTCCGGCTACCCTTGATCTGCCATTCGGAATCAGGGTCATGGACCCGTTGCTGGTCGCGCTGATCAACCGCCTGGTGGGCGTGGCAGGAGACTGTGCAGACATAATCGAAGGAGTTACGGTCGGTGATGGGCTGGCGGACGGTGCCGATTTTGCAGATACTGGAAATATAATTTTATTATGTTATAATCAGAATTAATAGACATATGCTTGGATAAAATCAGTTTGGCCATCCCACTTCCTACTCGCTTATAGTAAGATAAAATAGAAAGAATGGAGAGAAAGAACAAAATTAGACTGAACTTGCGGATTTTTGGAAAAGTGTTGGTTTTGTTGCTAAATGTTTTTTTTTATCTCAAGATACTATTTTACATTTGAGAGGCATCTTTTCATCTTCATTTGGAAATATAATGAGAGCATCTTAAGATATGTTAATTATACTTAAAACACACACACATATATATATACATATATATACATATAATTTAATGTATATAAATATATATCAACTATAACATTTGTGTTTATCGATTATTAAACAGTAAATCAATTGAAATTGTGGCAGTTTCTAAGCAATTGTCGAAAGCAATCTCATCATAGTGCTTGCAACTAATGAGATATAACATAATGTATCATTAAGTTCAACAACAAGACTATATCGTTTATATATGGTTGGTTTTATTATAATTATAAATGTAATGTAACAATTTATGCGATGAGATGATACCAAAGTAATGTGCTATAACATGCTGGCCTAGCTTTGTTAATCAAATTGAATTCAACCGAAATAAAACCATAGAGGAATATGTTTCGAAGTGTATAATATATGAGAAGATAAAAAAACATTATTTGTCAATTTGTTCCTCATAATTTATATATGTAGAGCGGGGCTTGAAAGTCCCTTCGATCCAATAGTCGCACAAAACTGACAAACGATAGTCCTCATCGAGATACATTGAATGGCTTTTAAATTTTTAAAATCGGTCTAGTCATTTTTGATAAAATGTCGATTTAAGGTAAAAAATTTGTTCACATACACGCACACAAACACTTTTTCCAAATTCGGTCTCATTCGATTCAGAATGGCTTCAAATGTCGAGAAAACATAAAATTAGTAAATCGAATTTTTTGTTAAAAAAAAGCAATTTTACAAGAGATAAATTGAGTATGTTCACTGGTTTTCACAATATAATTGCTCAAGTCAAATTGGAGCTTGATATATATATATATATATATATATATATATATATATATATATATATATATTAGCTGACCCGGCAAACGTTCAGCCATAAAAAAATATTTCTAGAAAATGTTCAGTATGAAAAATAACTAACTGATTATGAATGTGAAAGTGTGTAGTGAAAGAGGCAAATTATCAGCCTAATCTTTTCATTTAAATTTTTGTCTGTTATAACTGGGAATAAACTATTCGACAAAATGTCTCCTTTGATCAATTCAAAATTTAGGTTTTTAATTTCAATGACCCAAATAAAATAATAATATAATGTAGAAAATCTTTTATAAATATCAATGAGTATAAAATTATACAAATGAGTTCTTTCCGAGTACCGAATTTGAGAAAAATATGATTTGCAAAAAAGCGTGCTATTACGTCAAAAAGTGCATTTTCATATTAACATTATAATAAAGTTGATGTTTTGTGTTTCTAACAATACTTGCGGCACGTTTGATAACATTTTTGTGTATAAATACAACTACAAACAAAACAACTTAGTACAATTAAATAATATACATCTAAAACATCCTAATTAAGTGTAATTGAACATCTGCCAAAACCATTTGACATTTGACGCATGAGCCGTAGTCCATTGTTTCTATTTAAATTACGCTACGACAAAAATTTTCAAATTATAAATGTAAAGTTTCTACGCGGGTTTGAAATAATATCTTACTTTTTCCACAACCTATGGATAAGCACGAATTTTTCAAGACTAAAACTTTAGCCATTTTAACGTTTTACCATACCTAACAAAATACTAAGCTCCGTTTTTATATATAAGAAGATATATATCAGATCTTTAGGAAAAAAGTATATTTTTATTTATATACAAAAGTATAGATGAATTCTTTATTTGCTGTTTTATTGATGAGAGGTATAATATCAAAATTTAGAAATTTTCTGTGTTTAAAAGTTTAGCTAACGTGAGAAGAGTAACATTTGAAATAGTTCATTGCGTATACAAAACCAAAACTTTTGCAATATTAATGTTAAAAAAGTTATTTTAAGGATAAATTATTGAAAACTTAATACTTGTAACAAAGCACTATCATATCATTGCCATGAACGTAGTGCAGATAATAGCGTTTATTAAAATTTTACACATAATTAAATTAAAAGAAAGTAGAATTAAAATGTTTATGTTTTGATAAGTATAGGTACTAAAAAAATCAGCACACAATCCTGTTTCGATCGGTTTATTTAACTTTGTAAAATAAAACTTTTCCAACTCTTGTTTTGCGATTAAAAAAATATAGTAAAACGATAGCCGGAGATAGTTATTTGAGCTGGCAGGATAAAATTACTAAGAAAATTGCTTGGTCCTATAAAACTATTTACGATATCTATAAAGTTTTACCATCGTGCATTAAGAGCTCGGCTCTAACGCTGAATCCGAATAACCACTTCGCGTCAATGATACATAAACTGATATATAACGAGATATAAACTAAAACGCTATTAAGTATAAAAGTTTAAATGGTGCAAATATAAACACAAGCACTACATGCATGTTGCCATTCGACGAGCTTTTATCTCGAACCAATTTCAAGTTGAGGCGGTAACACAATCTCTGTTTTAACTTTAGGAAAGGATTTGATAACTTTTTACTATAATTTGTTATGAACAAACTGAATAGTTTAATATCGGTATCGATAATAAAGTTCATAGATTTTTAGTTACAACGAAAGAATTATTAACTGAATTGCAAAGTTTAAGTTATTTATCTCAAGTATATGTTTTGAAATTTTAGCTAAAATTAAAATTGAAATCCATAATATTTTTGATAATCAAGAAAAAAAATTTACTTTCGATTATTGGCCGATTACTATAACTTATCCTACGGAATGTTAAAAAATTGCCTGCCAATTCACACAACATTCTTACAGTTCAGTTAGGTACATTTTAGTAATTTGAAAAAAAAATGAATATACTAAATTTAATATTATACACACGAATACAGAGTATCCCTGAAATCAACGTCAAGTCAAAACAAAGTAAGAGTATTACTAGTAACTATATTGAAAAAATATAAGAAAACTTTATATAGCATTTCGAAAAATATGATTTTTTTTAAGTACAGCAAAACTGTGATCATTTTTCTAAAATTGTGCTTAATTTTTATTATTTTTTATTTAAACTTGGGAATTGAAGGACGAAAGCCAAAAAAAATAATGACACAAGTTCAAGTTTTCTAAAATTAAGACTAATTGTTAAACTGTAATATTAAAATTATAAAAATTGATCGACTTTGCAAGGCTTTCTTTTAAAAGAACGTGTAGTAAAAGATTTAATCGGTATCGTAAAATGTTAAAATACATTATATGTAAATAATAAATAAATTAAAACCTAAAAATAACACGTTTTTTGCTAGTGCTACTCGAATTGGATATAATATTGGATATAATATCTTTCACGTTTCACGTTTATAAAATTCTTAAAATTCAATATTTGGAAGAGCGGGATCGCGGATAAAAAGACTACCTCCAATATCTCTTTTAACATGTAGCGTTAAGAATTTTTTAACCACAATATTTGAAAGTAGAGGATAAAAAATCTGTAACCAGCCATTGGCTTAATCAACCAACGTCGCCCTCAGGAGATAAACGCCGTATATCAAAAGTTTTTTTTGTTGTGAGCACTGTTGTTTAGTTTACTAGTTCTTAATGTAATTTTCAAGTATAAGCTATATAATTATAGGTTCAACAGATTTTCTTATATAACCTCTATAAAAGTTCACATATGGGCGAAGTAAAGAAATCGATTAAAACTGTACCCTGACAAAAACAATACAAAAATAGTAAAGTAAAAAGTAAATTAAGTTAGGGATAAAATACATTTATAGTCATTCGAACTCTGCTAATATTTCTGACAAAATACCAAATCAAAATTATATAAGTGTTATCTGAAATTTACATATATTATATCATGGTTCAATAATATAGCTATTATATCGTAAAATCCTTTTTGCTTTAAATTTAAAATTAAGACATTGGATCTCTTTGCCCTCTTTCTGTCCATTTTTACTATTGCCTTCGGAGTAAAAATAAACTGATGATAAATATTAGAAAAACAGTAAAAATTCAGGAGACCATATTTTTCTAATAAGTCAAAACCGAGACAGCAATTTTTAGTTATGCTTATAGTGACAGTTTTTTTATATAAATCTTTTCTCATGAGAATTACGGACTTTTAGTAAAAACTTTATTATTCAATTATATGCAATACTTTTTCATCTATGGTATTATATTTTATATCAATTTATATATTAATCGCGCTTTTAAGCCTTGTATAGGCAATATTCTATTCAATTTTATTTATAATTAATTTGAAAAAAAAAAACTAGCACTTGTTTGTTGGTTTTCATAATTTTCGTTAATTCATCTGTTAATTTTTGAAATACCGGGACAGTCCGGGTGAAAAAATCTAAATTCGATATAAGTAATGCTTTTAAAAAAAAACGGACACAACATAGAAATTCGGGACAGTCCCCGGCGAAACCAAGACGGTCACCTTATAAAAATAGACATTATTGAAAATACGAATTAACTGGGAATTTTATTGATAATAGTTCGATAGTTGCTTGATTGATACACGTGATGTGTTTTGATGTAGTTCATTTGTGTTATACAGTATAATTACTTGAATTCGAATTGAACATTTGTGCTCCGCCCTACCCTAGTTGAAATGTGTACGAGAAATCACATAGTTTTATGATAAAACAATTAGAAATATTTGAACTGTATAGCTCAATATAAATAATATTTGAATATATGCTTCTTCGAAAATATTACTAATTTTTTGCTTTTTCTATAAATTATATTTTGTGGTAATTGTGAAAAATAAACCTCCATAATAGTAAAATAGAATCTAATAAATGTTACATGATTAATATCAATCATAATTGTTCTTAATCCTCAGAATTTCCATCAAAAGATTCACCATATCTAATAGTACTCACTCAGTCTGGATTCGTTATCGCTGGAAGGTGCTTCGCAATCAATAAGCGATGAAGTCAGTGCGACGTAACTGCCAGTACCGCCGTTGACAAGCAGAGGTGACGTGGCGGGGCTTCCGGCACCTCCAGGAGGTGCCTGTCCCACAGGCGAGGCAGCGCTACTACCGCCGGCACCGCCATTCGACGATGGCGCCAAGTTCATCAGGAGATCCTGGAATAGTGATCATAAGATGTAATATTTATGAAAGTATGATGATTTATAACGTTTTTATATTTATGAATGTATAGAAATAATAAAAACTCAATACGAAATTTATTGATTAATTAATACTGATTTTAGTTCTACTTCTTTAGGTCTGTGGTGAATTTGTTATTTCCAAAAATAACGAGAAAAAAATATTAAAATATAAACTAGGTAATCTGAAAAATTACATGAAAAAAAATTAAAGTTTTGTAACATGAGTGAAACGAATATTAAATGTTAAATATGAACACACTAAACTCATTTTTTTGCACACATGTTATTTCATATATTACAGACGTTTCGAAACTGTGAAAAGTATAGAACTAATGCATGTTCTAATTTTTTTTATAAATTATATATGTATATATATATATATATATAATTAACATATATGTAACATATATTTAACAATATTAAAATATTTATTTATCTCCATTAGATATTGAACCGTTCTTTATAATATTGTCATAGCTACTGTCTTCCAAGCCGACGCAATAAACAGAACTGTGCAGATCCTTCATTTTTGACAACTGATACGTGATAAAGTTTTGGTTTGCGTTATTATTATCGACTAATTTTGAATTTTATAAATCTTATTTCGTTTCAGTCTTTAATTATTTGTAATAACTTTTGTGATTGCTGAATTGTATAAATAGTTATCTTGAATAACGTAAGAAACATACCTGGGGTTAGTTGAAACAAAACCTTGGGGTTAGTGGTAACATATAAGGATTAAATTAAATTTTAAGAGTAAAAGATTAAATGGAATGTATAGTTTGTAAAATATGGGTACATGAATATAGTGTTACATGAGACGAAGACACTATTACTTTTATTTGTATTTTGATATTAAATGTAGTTCACGTAGAGTTACGGTAAAATTATATTTTTTGTTTGTATTAATGATAGTTTGCGTCGATGTATAAAAAGAATTACTTAAAAATAAGTAAATTTTCTTAAAAAAGTCATTTATTTTTCGTTACTACTTGCTCCTGTAGATGTTTGCAACTAGCCTCAAACACGGCGTAATTTGTAATGCACTGAACTGCACAGTAGTAAATTATTTTTACTTGATTCGGTAGAGAAATAGTTACAGAAACTATTTATTTTTATTACGTAAAAATATATTCGGTGGATATCAAGATATATTATTAATAAAACCTGTTGCAACAAGCCGTACTATAGAACTGTAATGTACTGGTATTCACCTAGATAAGCTAATTAGGAAACTGATTGATATCTGCGCACAACTTTTAATTAGGAGTCGGGTGCGCTACGCACAAATGAACAACATGACAAAACATCCATAACACTGTTGATTACGTTTGTTATGTGCAAAATTAATTACCTTCATGTTTATAGTAACACCAAATGGATTTCTCAATATCGTAGGCGATCCTTGAAGTTTTTGTCGTCTACTCAATATCAAGATGATTACAAAAACAACTAAAAGCAATAGCATAACAGCGGTCAAGACGCCTATAACGGCTTCTACATAACCGCCTTCATCTTGATGAGCTTGAACTAGAAAAAAAGTAGTAATTAATTCAACTGATCCAGAACTAATTATGAAAACTACTTAAATATTTTTTCTAATTTGTAAAAAAGTGGTTTATTCAAAATTTAATGAATCATGAATTGAAATACGACATTTCATTTTAAATATTTTTATTTTCTCTATAGATTTTTCAATTTCAAATTTTGGTTGCTATCGTGGTTGTTTAAAAATATTAGAGTATCATAAAATATAGAAAAATTAATAAGTTTTGACAAATTCAAATATTTATTCATGATAATATCGAAATGAATCAAAGTCTTTCTTGGAACAAAATCTACAATTAAGTGACAAAATGCAAATCATTTCTGTCAATTAAAATGAAATAAGTGTTATTTGTAGCGGCAGTTGATTGTATAATAACGTTCATAGTTGATCGAACCATATAAACCAAAAATATCTCTAACTAAAATCACCAAGGAGCGTCCATATATCCTGGTTAAGAAGTTTTGTAAGTTATATGTTATAAACTATAAATGTAATGATCTTAAATGTAATATCAATAATTTAAAATAACACAAAAATACATTAACAATACCTAAATTGGCCTAGATCAGAAAAGATAATCATAGATAAATAAGTATAAATAATCGAGATATTATTTATTATATAATTTATACCTGTTTCAAATGTATCAAATGCTACCCCAATCTCTGGGTTGACCAAAATTTCTTCGTCGCTGGTATTTAACTCAATTTCATCTGTAGCGTTGTATCCCAATGGTTCTGAGAAAATAATTTATTTACAAAAATATTCTTTTACATATATTTATAATCAATTATACAAACCACTATCAAAGAAAACTTCGCTCAGCATAATCCATGATGCAGCAAAATAAAGTCGAATTTTGACAAATCTTGCCAATCTATGATGTAAAGCTATTGTCACATCTCGGGCTACTTCTAAGGCTCTATCGGGCATATAAGAATATCCCAAAGGTCTACCATTGTAATGTAAACCACCAACGGAAAACCAGATTTTTGCCCTTGAAAAAACCTGAAAAGATATATAAATATAATATAATAATATATTTTTGAAACCATTCTGTAAATTTAATTACTAGAATTCTCTCGTACTAGTTAATGCTATATTTCTAATTTGTCGCAGCATTGCCACAAGACAGCGATTTTCACTTAGAAACATATTTATAAAAATATTTTCACGTAAAAATATGAGGCACTACTGCTTGATATCAGGCTGAGGTGTATCGAACCTGAAAACCTGCTGTTGTAAAGCCAAAGTTCTGATAGCTAAGTAATATAATTATCTTTTAACTTCCCGAAGAAAAAGTTTCGGGAATCAGAAAATTCGATTAGCTAATTTTATATTTTCTCGGCGTTTCAAGCCATTTGAATCGAATGATACCAAATTTGAAAAAGGTATGTACGTGTGTGTGTGTGTGAACACATTTTTTGTCGCAAATTGAAGTTTTCTCAAAAACGGTTGGACCGATTCCAAAATATTCGATGTATTTCGATGAGGAATATCGTTTTTCAATTTTGAGCGACCACCGGCCGAGTCGTTTCTTTGTAAATAGCACTAAAGAAAAAAAATCATCCACGTTTTAGCCCGCAATTCCAAATCGATTTTGAAAAATCAAGAACTGTTTAAAAGATATTGGTTTGGAATGATACTAATTAGCTTTAGGTAAAAATTAACCGGGCCGTTTTCTTGTAATTAACTATTGCAGAAAAAAATTGCCGATTTTTATGAAGCTTTTATGACGATAGATATCATAGTCTTATAGACCATACAAAAATAGTCCTACGTCAAAAATTCATCAAAGTTTGAGAAAATATTATAGTAAAAATTTGTGTCAAATTCGCTTTTGTGATGTGTTGAGTCAAATATTATAAATTCATCAAAATTTATGATAGTAATATCAATTTTAGAGCATATAAGCACGTGTCTGTGCAATATAATTAATATAATTATAGTTAATTTAAATGTGTTTCAGAATTCTATTCGAAATCGCAATATTTAGATTTAATTGAAAGCGATTACATTTTTTTGAAATAAACAGTTAGAAATTTTATCACATATCTAAATTTCGACTTCGATTGATTAAATCCATTCTTACACATTTCGGAAAGATCGTGCAACTTGCCTTAAGGCTAAATGTCACTTTCAACTAGTTTAAAATTGAAGTAATAATTATAAAACTTTCTAAACGCATGAAGAATATTTATTATTTTTAACGTGTATTTTGTAGATTCTATTTTTGGTATAAAACTCAAATATTTTTATTGAAAAATTGTTAAATAGCTTTCTGACAATTCCAATAACGTAACAATAAGTTGTTGAAAATAAAAACTTTTAAACAAAATTTTTAATTTAGCGACAAATTCCAACAATAGTAAAAACATAACCAATTGAAATATTTCTCTAGAGTCAATTTTATCATGAAACTAAAAATTGATTAAATTGAGTTATGGATTCATAGAAAAAACTTTCTGAAAACTGATATTTATATGTCAAGTGTTCCTCTTTCGAGTACTTGATACTTCCACTATGCTTCCACTAGACTATTTTGAGTACTTTTTCTACCGTAACTCCAAATCGACTAGATATGTATATATTGAAAATCAATATGTTCTGCACTTTAAAATAAATTTTGATTTATTACAAATGGTAAAGCTACTTTTTTAAACGTGAATGATTGTACATACATACATACACAATACACTCATACTGCGCATGCACTCTACAGCACACACATAAACATATTCGTATAACATTTATCGACAATGATCCTAAAATGTAAAGATATCCCAATCTTTTCTTCAAGTTTAATGTAGCATTTCCTAAGGTATGTTAATTAATATATTTTCCCTTGCGATTTTAATATAAACTGCATCTGATCAAAACTCCACCGGATGGTAAATTAGTTTCTCCTTTGAGATAGTGCATCTTTACATTCGGCCAATACGGGGATGATAGGGAATCCTATTAACTATAAATATCTTTACCTGGACATCTTTGCTGAAGAAGTTGTTGGTGAACAGATGAATGGCGCTGAAGTTCCGCAACTGATCGAACTCGAAGATTAACTCTACGTATCGTTCGCCTAATGAAGTGTTCCTCCAACCTACCCAGCCGTTTCCTGAAAGATATCGAAATCATCAAAGAACATCTGGGTTGTTCAGATTCTTGATGATATGACAAACTATATAAATAATATGTATGAATTTTTTTATTTCACAAATTAATATTATTGAATTAAGGAATATTTTGCTTAAGATTTTATATTCATTAACAGTTATTACACTTCTGAAATTCGATTTCAATCATAATTACCACAACACATGCACATACAATGAATACCTGTATATACATATATACATATACAAAGAAGTGTAATTCATAAAAAAAATATTGTCTACAACGTTATCTAGTTAAATCTTAAACAATACTAATTCCTAAATATTAATGTTGATAACTGGTATAAACGTATAAACATATGTAATCTAACTAGTGGCGTATGGCATCGTGCTTTAAGGCAAATTGCTGAAACTTCCCGTACCGTAATAAAATATTCTATAAATATTAAGTGTTTTCAAATAGATAATTAAAAGTACAGTAACTTTGTTCATTATTCGTATTTTATAAAGCTTATGAAATGGACGTTTACATATAATAAATAAAACTGATCAACTGGATTCAAAATAAAGGACATTGTCTAATATTTGTTTGTCTAATATTTATAAGACTTATATATTTGAAGTATATAAGTGGCGTTTAGAACTTAGAAAACCAGAAATAGAATTAAAATCCGAATTATTTTCGATATTCAAAAAAAGTTTTGGGTATTAGAAAAATAAAATATAAAAAAAGTTTCCCCAAAAGCAATCGTTTCTGCAACACATTTATTTAAATCGGATGCTTAGTTCTGTCAAAATCTGTCATTTTTTGTACATTTAGCTTTATATCTCCGAACGGCTGGACCTGCCTTTACTAAAAGCTAATCACCACACTTCCCTGTCAATAAAAATCGATTGCTTTTTGAATTATTTAAGTCAATTCATCTATACGCCCGAAATCCTCGACGAAAAGTTGTATCCACGCATAGATACACACACATGCACACAAACACACACACGTCAATCCAGAGCCAAAATGTTCAGAAACCTCTGGAACGTGAAGATATGTAAATATTTTAATTTTTAATTTTTGGACGATTAAAATAAATTAACCTATATAAAATATCAAAGTGTGAATATAAACTTTATAGTTGTTTCAGAACTTTAATAATAATTAACTATCTAATTCAACTTGTGAAAATAAATTTAACCACTGAAAATCATCTCTCATTTATAGTTTAGTATAGATTTGACGATTTTACGTAACTACATTGTATATTAATATAGTAACTTGAAATTCATTTTTTTTTTAAATATTTCAATATTACGGAACGATGAGTGCAAAATAAGTTTAATATTTATTTTCAATATTAATTTAAAATATAATTACAAAAAAAGTATTCATCAAAAATTGTAGTATTTTAGTTGCAAAAGCATTTCAGTTTCAGCCAGTAGTTTGTACGATGGCTTTTGTATTTTTAAAGCCCATCATCAATTCTTAAAATTTTACTCATCATCCTAACAAGATGAGATGTAAAAATTAATCTGTAATAATAAAAATAAAAGTTTGCACGATGAATAAAATTGATAAAGTTTTAATAAATCTAATTATGACTCTTGGTTTTAAAGATATATATTTCGCATATGATTATATTATAACTACAATACTTAAATTATACCGCAATAAAGAAAGTTATATTTCAATAAATTCGATTATTAAAAAACATTTAGTAAACGTTTTAATAAGGACAATCTATTTTATTAAATTGTGCTCTCTGGTATATCATAATTGTTTTTATTTGACTGCCGTAATTTTATATGAAAGCAAAAAAAAAATTAAAAAGTTGCAAATAAAAATATATTTTCTTGAGGTTGTTTGTACTTCAGATAACGTAACTATCGCTTTACATCTATAGTAGTTAAGAATTGATTTAACTCTCCGTCGGTCGGATATTTTTCCACCTTCGAACGGTCGGAAAGGTCTGGCTGGACCACCATTCATTTTACATGCAATTATATGGGATAAATGAGTTTTTGGTGTCTTATATATTAACGATTATTAGTAGTAAATATTTAAAGTTTTGATTTTTTCTTTTTTTTACCGTCTTTTGCATGTGTTGAACTTACTTATAATAAAAATGTTACATATTATATTATATAAAAAAATCAAGAAATATAAAGAAATCGTCGCTTTTTTTGTTAATTTTTCTGATTTATACCAATGAAAAACAATATTTATTCTTTTTCGGCGCCTTTGAAATGAATGTGAAATTCAAATGAAAACGAAATGAGGTGCGTCGCATTTGAAATGAGCTGTAAAACTCAAAGTGAAAATATAATTTCACTGCAGGTTTCCAAAAAAAAATTTCGAACGCAGTACGGGTAGAAAAATTGTTGATAATGTGTGCATTACTCATCCGATTTTCAGTGTTTGCGATTACGTTTGGTAAGTTTTCAAGGAACTCTCGACATGAAAATACTAGCATTCATGTTACAACACATAGCAAAGAATATATACAACGCAGTTTGAATAGAAAATACCATGAAAAAAGACAAAATACTGGTTTACATATATCAAAAAGTGTATATTTCATACAAAATGTATGGGTGGTCTAGACAGACCTTTCCGACCGTTCGAAGTATAAAAAAATTAATATCCTTATAATTATCCTTCTGTACATTTTTTCTTCCTGATTTTTTCATTGATCAACAGCTAATGAAATTTTAAGAAAAGTCAAGAAATTTCAAGTCGATAGAAGTATTCTTTTTTTTAATTGAAGTCGAAAAAAGTCTGGCCAGACCATGCCGACCGACGGAGGGTTAATTATGGAACACATATGATTACTTTCAAATGTTTTAAAAATATGAAGCATTATACGAGGTCTGTTCAAAAAGTTTTCGTAATTTTCGTTTTTTCAAAAAAATATTTATTTATTCGTCTACATTAATGTGGTCCCCTTCAAAGTAGTCCCCCCCAGATATAATACACTTATGCCAGCGTTTTTTCCAATTTTCGAAGCACCCTTGATATTCACTTTTTGATATGTCCTTGAGCACTCTCGGCGATTTTCTTCAATCGAGGAAAACCGCCGTCCTTTCATGGGTCTCTTCAACTTTGGGAATAGGAAAAAGTCACACGGAGCCATATCTGGTGAATTTTTGCACTTTGCAACACTTTATTTCATTTTTTACGCAAAAATTAATACAAATTCTTTGACTTTTTCAATTCTTCCATTGTAAAAATCGCCGAGCTCAGAAAAACACGTCGAACCTTAGCGACTACCACAGACAAAGTAAACAGTGAATATAGCTGAAAATTTCATCATACTTTAGGGGCATGTATACCAACACAATAAAAAAAATTTTGACAATCAGACACTCCAGACCCGCGAAATTTAATTATTAGTAATTCCGGGTACTTTTTGAACAGACCATGTATATAGAAGCAAACAGTAATTCATCCGTTCTTGTTTCAAAATATTTTTTGCTTCTTCCTTGTATACTAATACATTTTCTTCACATGTGTAGCATTATATTGTTTTTCACCGTAATTCAACACAAAAACTTATTGTGTTGGTTTTGAAAAGGATAAATAATTGTAACAGCAAATCATCGATCGAAAATGATTAATTATAAAGAAAATTATTCACATTGTATGGTTAGCCAATGTTAACAAATTTCATTGTGTTTTAGTTCGATAACAGAGTTTTGGTTAAATAGAAGATTATCTTGATTATCAACTTAAATAGTTTATGATATTTACTCTTACTAATGCCAACATAAAAGTATAATGCAACTGTAACATATTTATAATGCTCTAGAAAAATACATTTTTTATATATAAATAAATAATTATATTTACCTTTACCGTAACCTATATCTAGGCGGAAATTATCGGCCCCGTACTGTCCGTCGACGAGCCTGCCCAAGCCGCCAGTTAAACGACCGGAGGTTCGGTTGCCGTCGTAGCTGGAGTCGCTCAGTTCGGGCTCCGGAGACTGCGGTATTGAATAACTAACGATACCACCTGGAACAAGCCATCATTATAAGTTGAAATAAGTTATATAAAAATACTTGATAATAAAATAAATATTTTATTATAAAAGTTACTTATACATTTGATGTAGATGGTTATGAATAAATGGGCAGAAAGATCAAATTCGAGTTTGAGCATTTATTTCGTGAAAATCAAAACAATATCATAACAAATAACATATATCAAACAAACAATTATCTGACTTGACTATCTGACTATCTGACTATCTGCCTAAATTGCCACCTGGTTTTTTTACCCCAAAATCGTAGTAAATTTGGACGACCGGCAAACAGGTCCAATGACTTATTTTAATTTTAAAGACATTTTACAAAATAATAGCTTCAATATTCATCGCATGCAAAATATAAATCTCATGAGTGCATTTTATACTGACTGATGGAATTGGTGTTTTGTCAGAAATGTTCATCAGCAGAGTTGGAATAACAATTTATTTAAATTATCTCTTGTAAAATTACTTAAGTTAATTTAATTTACATTTTTATTTGCTATTTTTTATTTTTATACCTTTACCAGAGTGAATTTTCAATAGGTCCATTTTATCACACCCAGCTTTTATAGAGGTTATATAAAAATTCTGTATTGCTGAATCTAACTTAGAAATAAAATCACATCTAACAAAACAATTGAATAAGGTATACTTCAAAATTACATTCAGGTCTGGTAAACTAAACAACAGTGCTCACAACCAAAAAAATCTAACATTGAAAGAAATTACATTTGTTATAATTTTTAAACATTGCCGTTTATCTCCAGATAACAACGCCGGAAGAATCAAGGTGATGTCTGGTTATACATCTTTTTCCTTCTACTTCCAAATATTGTTAATAAAATTTTTTTAATTTTACTGGTTTTTGAGATATCGGTGGTGTACCTTTTTACCATCGGACCTTTAATCCCCGCCGCTCTATCTTATACCAATAATCTCTAAAAAAGTTTGTGTAACTTCTTATCTCATATGTAGAATATAAGATCAAAAAAATAATACTGGAATTAAATTTTATAAAATACTTTTACTTTTGAATAATAAAAGTCAAAGAAGTGCCTAGTCCATGGCGTGTTTTCTTTAGTAAAATCTATCTGTTTTTCTTTTATTACAAAAATTAATTTATGTAAACTAAATATGCTCCATTACTATCGACAATATTTAGGCATTTTTCTCTCAAACAGAAAATCTCTTATCAACAAAGTTTGTCAATAAAACTTTCCTTAATAAAAAAAAAAACAAAAACATTTCTCTTTGATAAAACTGAAAATACAGCATTTCGCTATCTGAAATAATACATTATAACATGTCAGACGTTGCCTTTTAGTACGGGAAAAAGTCCTCGGAGCTTGTCGTTCGTTCAGTGGGAATAGAAATAAGAATGAATAAAAATGATATTCGGATTGTCAAATACATCATAAGCGACGACCGATCCATCATTTCCACTCAAACACATCGCGTGTGGGTACTACATACTGGGTAACGCCGTACACAATGTTAAATGTACCCGCATACATTTATGCACACGCCAGGATAAAGATCACAGGTCTTAGGAACACGTTTTATATGCCAACGTACATTATATTCTATCTGAATGAAAATGGTTAAAATATTACTCAAACTGTACGATATTTATTTAATATATAATACAACATAAACTATGAATTTATTTTCGATGATGGCATTTTCCTAAATTATCTATATATTTATTTATTTAAAACCAATTACAGTAGAAACTCAATTAACTGTTGTCGATAGGCATTCGAGTAATCAAAAATCTGGATAATCGAATGTACAAAGAATAATGTTGCGTATTTATTAAGATTGATAAATACATATATAGATATCAACAAAAATAATATTTACTAAGAAAATAAAACACATACCATAACGAAATGCTCGAGGAATATTGAATGTTTTCAAATAGATGATTATAAATACGGTAACATTTGCCTAATATTTATTTATAAGAATTATATGAACTGAAACTGAAACATAGTTACATAGTTGAAGTTATTTATTTAAAGTATATAAGTGAGCTTTAGAACTTTAGCCAAAATCAAAATTGAAACTTATATTATTTACAATATACAAAAAAAAATACTTTTAATTTTTTTTTTTTTTCAAAAGCAATTGTTTTGTCAACACAAGCAGAAAGGTTTTGAATCATTCAATTCGGATGCTTATTTTCTCAAAAACTGCTATTTTTCTGAGAGTTTTCTGTATCTTCAAAATGGCTAGTCCTGCCTTTGCCAAAAACTAATAACCATTTTTCCCAATCATTACTAATTGAATGTTTTTTAGATCATTCAAATCGGATGCTCCGTTCTTATCTCCGTAACGGCTGAACCTGCCTTTCCCAAAAACTAATCAGCACATCTCCCTATCAATAGGAATAAAAGGTTTTTTGAACCATTCAGTTCGTTTAATCCATGCGCCCAAAAACGTGAACGAAAAAATGCAGACACACAAAATACACACACGCACACACACATCCATTTTATCTGAGATATGCCAAAATGTTCAGAAACCTTTAAAACGTCGAAAAATGCAAAAATTTTCATTTTCCATTTTTGGAAACCCTACGTGAAATTAATAATAAATATGTATGTACATACATATTTTCTTAGATTACATTTCATATATTATACATGATATGGTCTTTTAAGGCAAATTGCTGAAACTCTTCATACCGTAACTTTTTTTTAACCGTTTTGTCTCTAAAACAGCAAAATTTTTAAGTTTTAAAAAAATTTAAATTGCAATATAGGAAGTTCCAGCAATTTGCCTTAAGACGTCACTAGTTTATATTTAATGTCATGCACCACTAGTTTATATATTTATTTTTAACAAAAAATAAAGAAAAGTAAAAGAAGTTTCACATAGTACGTTAAGTACGAAATAAAACTAGTGGTGCATGACATCGTGCCTTAAATTGCAAATTGCTGGAGCTTCCCGTACCATAACGCAATATTTGAGTAGCTTTCAAATAAATTATTATAAATTCTGTGATTTTCATTATTCGTATTTTTAGACAAAATATAAGTGCTTATAAATTGGACGATGGCGTTTTTATATGTTTACTTAAAATATAAATAAACAAAACTTGATCAAGGGGAGTTAGAATGAAGGACCTTATCACACATTTTCAAGAATTTTATGAACTGAATTGCAAAGTTAAAATTATGTATTCCAAGTAAGTGAGCTTTAGATTTTTAGAAAAAATTAAAATTAAAATCCGAAGTATCTCCGATAATTTAAAAATAATTTTTTTTTAAATTATTAACTTCTAGTCGTAGGGTAAGTTATAGTAATCGCCTTCGTTTAAATCGTATTTTATTAAAATCAAAATCGTTTACGTTTCAGAGGTTTCTGAACATGTTGGTATCCTTTAGAAAAATGGATGTATGTGTGTGTATGTAAGTCTGTGTGGATGTATGTGTGTGTGTGCGTGTGCGGGTACATATTTTCGTCGACGATTTCGGGAACACGGATCAACCGATTTGAATAATTTAAAAATCATTCGATTCGTATTGATAGGAAGACGTGCTTAGTTTTTGGCAAAGGTAGGTCTAACCGTTTCGAAGATACAAGACAAAAAAAGCCAAAAATTGTAATTCAGTTTTTGCGAGAACGGATTGTCCGATTTGACTAATTCAAAAAACACTTTTTTGAATTGAAAAAATGAAGTACCGTTCTTAGGAAAGGCAGGTATAACAATTCCAGAGATCGAATAAAAATAAGTAAAAAAAATGCCATTTGGCGGTCAAAAATGATCATTACGCATGTGCACATCAAATTATCAAATATTTTATAGAGATTTTAATAACAAGTCTGAATTTTGGAAAGACAGCACTTAGTTGCCATATTGGATATTAAAAAACTAACTACTAGCCGGTAGGTTTTAATCCTGAATTCGCTTCTTCGACCTTTTACATTTTATTGTAGGTATTCTTATAATATGTTTTACAATCGAAATTAGCAAATAATAAAAAAGTCTTGCTCGTTAAAAAATAAAATAATCATAATACTATTCAAACAAAATTTATGCAAACAAAAAACAAAATATCCGGATTAGCAAAGTATGTAGTATGCAGAAACAGTTGAATAAAGAAATTTATAATAATAAAAAATCATAAACATCATAGTATGGTCATTATTACCTTTGTCTATATGTTATGGTAAGAAAAAGTACAATACGCGAAAGTAAAATATCACAATTGTCAAATAAAACGATAAAAAGATCCACGTTATCTAAAAATATCTTCTTATTTGTGAGATAAATTCAATAATTGAGAATCCTTGGAACTCCGACGGCTTATACAGCAGGTAGTTCAGATAAATACGGAATGCATTAGCAGATTTTATCTTAGTTTCTCCACCGGCAACTTTTTGTGTTTCGTATCTGGTAATATGTATATGGGACATTATGACAATATTACAACCCTACTATAATGGTCATATAAAATTATATCACGAGCTCGAAAGCGCATTCCTTCGCTCGTAAAAACTTTTTGATCGTAATACTACAATGTGAATAATGCTTAATAGAATTCACGCTTTAGATATAATAATTTAAAATTAATCGAATCTTTATTATAATATATTGAGACGACGTTAATAATATCAGAAGACAAAAATACTATTGACATACGATAAGATTATGAAATTCTAAATAGTAAAAAATCATTATATATTCGGGATCACACATATATATCATAACATTTTCTGTATATTTTTTCTTGCTAAAAGTGATATTAAATATACAATTATAACATTTTAAAATTGTATAATATAAGAGAGTAATATACATAATTACCTAACGATATAGCATGTCTAGGAACCTAGAAACTTCAATCAAATTGAATTTACGTTTGCAATAGAAACTAATTTAATAAAAATGATGTTATCAAATTTATCTTCTAAATCAAGCTAAGCTATCTTCATTAGTTTTAATAATGTTTGAATTAGCTTTATCATTGTATCT